TTTCCATTGTACCATGCAGAAATCAAAGACAAACAGCTCAAGAACAACGACGATTTCATTTGGGCAATTGACGTCCCATTAACTGGAAAATTCATTATTGACGTTGAATTTCTTGATTTAAAAATTGCATCTCCTTGTGTAAGTTCCCTTCATCTATGCTTTTTAATTTCCCAAGTGTATATCATCAAATAGATTTTTAGTAGCTGAATAGAAAAATAGTTAGAAGAATTGATAGCTCGGTTTCAATTCTTCTCGCCTAATTTAAAAATGAAAATTTTTTTTGTGATCGAATATTTTTAGGGCGGCGAACCTTGCTCCATTTGGGCTGACGGGTTCACGCAGAAACAATCAAATGTGACGGCTCTAACATCGTTGGGACGAATGTTGACCGAAGGCATCCACACTGACATCATAATCCACGCTTCCAACGGGAGCATTGGTGCGCATCGCGCTATTCTCGCGGCGAGATCTCCGGTTTTTCACAGCATGTTCTCGCATGAACTCAAAGAGAAGGAAATGTCCACTATAAATATATGTGACATGTCAATAGAGTCATGTCAAGCCTTTCTCCATTACATCTATGGAAACATCCAACATGAAGAATTCTTAGCACATAGGCTAGCCCTTCTTGGTGCCGCGGATAAGTATGACATCGGGGACCTAAAAGAAGCGTGCCACGATAGCCTTCTAGAAGACATTGACGCAAGAAATGTGCTTGATAGGCTCCAAAATGCATCTCTCTATAACTTGCCAAAACTTAAGACTAGTTGCATGAGGTACCTTGTGAAGTTCGGCAAGATATTCGATATCCGCGAAGATTTCAACGCCTTCTTGCTATCGGCGGATAGGGAGCTGATAGCGGAAATCTTCCATGAAGTATTGAGTGCATGGAAAGGTTTCTGAAACTGATCTTTGCTTGCAAAAGAAGGAAAGTATTAAAAATATGTGAAAAGCTTGTGGTATTTTTTTATATCATAGTCCATAAAGATGGATTCTCAGAAGAATTTTAGCATGAAGGATTTGTTGATCAAGAAGATGATTCTTTTGTGCATATTGGATTGATTTTTAGGTATTGATCTTGTTATTTGTAAATATATTGGTTTGTATCGCATAGATATTGTAACTTTGTCACAAAACATTACACATTCTTAAATTATGAAGATTGGATATTATTTATTTCAGATTTTTTTTTTATAAATATTTTAGTTGAAAATAATTTTATGTGTTTGTCCTTGGGGTCTAATTTATGTCATAACCAACTCAACCAACAAAGCCTTTCCATTTATTTACGTAAAGTAGATATTGGCATTTCTTTTCCTCTGCAAAACCTAGGTCAAACT